AATGGCCTTTATGCTAACGCCCCTAGGCCACCCGTGACTTTCCACATGTTGTTCTGCTGCAGGCGACATGGGGGTGAGAAGGGTTCTAATTGCAGTGAGGAGATGGGGTGAGCAAGTGTCTCAGAGGCTCTGGGATTGGCTTTCATGTCTCTCATACAGTTTCCATCATTGGATACTTTTAAGTCATTTCTGTCAGTCCCTGGGGCTGAGGAAGTGTTTTGAACCAGAGATTATTCTGTTTTGTAATGGGCCACATTACAATAATTGGTGCATAGGGCTTGTCCCAGGCTGGGGGTCAGGATTGTGAGAGCCCTTCAAATATTCACAGCACATCTCTGACTAGCTGTTCATGTTCGGCAGGGACGAGGTGTTTGGAAGAGAATTCTGCTGTGGAAAAATGTTCACCATAATCTGTACAGTAAATACAAATATTGCGTCTATGTCCTAGAGTCGATATTTGGGGCGAATGGGAAAAACATCTTCTCTATTGTTGTTAAACAGAACACCAGTCTGATCAACACAAAGAAGAAGCTGGAAACTGACATTTCCCAGCTCCAGAGTGAAATGGAGGAGACAATCCAGGAGGCACGCAATGCAGATGAGAAGGCCAAGAAAGCAATCACTGATGTGAGTTGAAGGCACCTTTCAGTGGAGAGCATGGCCGTGTTTTCACCCAGCAGAGTTGGTTTTCTGAATTAGTTTCCTCTCTTTGCTCACTAGGCAGCCATGATGGCGGAGGAGCTGAAGAAGGAGCAGGACACCAGCGCCCACCTGGAGAGGATGAAGAAGAACCTGGACCAGACGGTGAAGGACCTGCAGCTCCGGCTGGATGAGGCAGAGCAGCTGGCACTGAAGGGTGGCAAGAAGCAAATCCAGAAACTGGAGGCCAGAGTGCGTGTTCCTCATATTTGTGTACGTGGAAGCATTTCCTATGTCGGTCCCAGTGAAACACAACAATGCATTTCTCGTTTCAGGTGCGTGAGCTGGAAGGTGAGGTTGACAATGAGCAGAAACGCAGCGCTGATGCTATTAAGGGGGTTCGCAAGTATGAGAGAAGAGTAAAGGAACTGACCTACCAGGTAAAGAGGGAGGTCCCCTGTGCTGTTACATCCTTCTCCAGGGAACACCAATTGTGTTCCTGTGAACGTGGAAAGAAGATTTTTTACGTTATGTGATAAGCAAATGAACTTACCTCTGTCCTACTTTATTAACTCTTTTAGTCTGAGGAAGACCGGAAGAATATTCTCAGGCTGCAGGATCTGGTCGATAAACTACAACTGAAAGTGAAAGCTTACAAGAGACAAGCTGAGGAGTCTGTAAGTACCATTTGGAGGAGACATGATAATGTATTCTAGTGAGTTGGGAATTGTAGTAACTAGCTGGATATTAGAAATTATGAAGCTGCGTTTGTTCAGCAGAATAACATGTAAGGATTAACATAACCTTGCAAATTGATGCTGATATCTAAGGGTATGTCTACACTACCCCCAGTTCGAACTAGCGGGGTAATGTAGGCATACCGCACTTGCAAATGAAGCCCGGGATTTGAATTTCCCGGGCTTCATTTGCATAAGCGGGGAGCCGCCATTTTTAAAACCCCGCTGGTTCGAACCCCGTGCAGCGCGGCAACACGGGGCTCGAACTAGGTAGTTCGAACTAGGATTCCTATTCCGAACTACCGGTATGTGGAATGAGGTGTACTGGTAGTTCGGAATAGGAATCCTAGTTCGAACTACCTAGTTCGAGCCCCGTGTTGCCGCGCTGCACGGGGTTCGAACCAGCGGGGTTTTAAAAATGGCGGCTCGCCGCTTATGCAAATGAAGCCCGGGAAATTCAAATCCCAGGCTTCATTTGCAAGTGCGGTATGCCTACATTACCCTCCTAGTTCGAACTAGGAGGGTAGTGTAGACATACCCTCAGGGACAAATTACTGATAGAGTAAGCAAAGAAACAATACAAAATCATGAAAGAACAGTGTATGTAATTATATTTGACAAGCACAATTTGTCAATGTTTAGGTTCATAGTACATTACATAGACAATTTAATAGACTCATGCACGTCTGAGTCAGCTGCAAGCATGGCCTGATGAGGCCTTGCCTCTTTGTGAACGTGCACTTTGTGTTGCCTGACGCAGGCCCCTCAATGGGACAATTTGCAAGAGGGAGATTGTGAAATTTTCATTACTCACCCACTCCTCCAAATCACTGCCTTCACCTCAGGGACAGCAGGACAAGAAGGTTAAGAAGAATGGGGGGATCTGGTCCTTAGCACTGCCCAGACATGCCCAGGGCTCTTCACTGTGCCACACGGGCCTCCAGCAGCAATTTAAAGGGCCTGAGGCTCCACCTCTGAATTGCCAGGACCTGGGGTGGTTGCCCTCTTTGCTCCCCCTGTCAGTGGGCTTGCTGCAAATAGGGAGGGTCTGAGAGCGTAGCTGCCTGGCTGGGCATGAAGGAAAGAGATAAGAAATGCCTGATGAGTCTGTGCTGCCTGGCGAGGAGAGGGAAGAGGGAAAGTGGGAAGGAGGAAAGTGCTTCCTCCGTGAGGACCAGATCCCAACATCACAGGACTTAATGGAAAAGCTCTGGTTAACTTCATTAGACTTTGGATCAGGCTGTTAGGGAGGAATAGGGTTTGACAGGATGCAGGGTCGTCCCAAGCCATTCATGCGCCCTGGGCCCTGGGAGCGTGATGCACGGCCCCTCCCCCAGGGCACCGGCACATGCGCGGCCCCACCACCGCCCAGTCCAGCAGCGCCGTGCGGCACCCCCTACAATGGGGCGCCCTAGGCGGTCGCCTGGTAAGCCTGTAGCTTGGACCAGCTCTAACAGGATAGACGTTCCTGCTTCTCTCTGGAAACTGCTCCTCGTGTTCTGATTCTCTTCAGGGCAATCTGGATTCTTGAATATTGCATAATGGTTCCAATGGCTGATTAATGGGGCTAACTCCCCATCTTGCTCACTGGAATAGTGTGTCATCAAGGCTGTGTCTCCTGGGGTTGGGTGAACTTGTGTTCAAAGTTGGTATGGAATGGAAGGTAATTTGTTCATAGTCCTGTCCTGAATCCTAAGCATACAAACTGCAGACCTAACCTCACCAGCTAGAATGGATGGCGCTTCTCTTCCAGCCTTTGTGACCGTCTTGTCCCTCAGTGAATACATGTCTGGCAACAGCTGCATGTGCAGCATCATTCTACATTAAAATCATTTCACCTCGTGTTTAAGGGCTTCTCTAAATTAGAAAGTGGTGAGCGGGGGAAAGTGCAAACTTGGTCCAGGTAAGAAATGCTAAGTGGGTGACAGGGCCTGGGCCTTGTTCGCATGAAGCAGTTCTATCCCAAAGGCAGAAGAAGGGAGTCAGTGAGAAGGACTAGCACAGTCCCATCTAGTTAGACTTAGTGGCTAGATAGCCCACTTGGCAGCCAGGAATTGGAGCCCAGGGTCACAGCTGCAGGTAGAGGCCACGGTCATGGCCTAAGTCAGGGGGCAGCAATCAGAGCTTACGGCAGAACTGGCTTACCTGGAGTGAGGTAAGGCAGGAAGAGGGTTGGAGCTAAGGCAGGAGCAGGACAGGAACAAGGCAAAACTAGGCTGGGAACAAGGCAGGAACCGGCTCTGCCACAGCTGTGGGTACATGTGCTGAGCAGTTGTTGAATTGCTGCTGGGTTTAAGAACCAGTCTCCTGAAACTTCCAGCCAATCAGGCAGCCTTATTATAGATCAGTCTCTATGAC